GACATGTCTGCCACGCAGGACGAAAGTGCAACGCTACAAATGGGTCCAACGGCACTGGTAGGGGAGAGAGAGCCTGGAACGAGATTGTCAAAGATCTTGGTACTTTAGGTCAGCGGATGACATGAAGTCCAGTTTCCTACTCATGTAACATCCACGTGGCTTTCGCAGAAATAACTCTACACGTGATACTGAAAATCCAACATGGAGGGGAAGGCATCTTTTATTCCACCGGTCATAGAAGATAATCCCGATGGTTGGGGGCCTTGTTCCATTCCAACTGCGTTCAAAGACATACCTTATCAACCATTTTCCAAAGGAGATCGTCTAGGCAAGGTAAAACCTCTATTAGCTAGGTTTTTATAGAGTGTCGGAAAAATTAGGAAAACCAGCTGGGAAATTATGCCACGTTGGTTTTCGGAGTTTGTCGCACAACTTAACTTATTTCCTATGCATAACTTAACTTATTTCCGGATTAAACTTTTTAATTCACTTGGATTTTAGTATTATAAATTAAGAACCGTTTGTTAAGACAGGAATAAAAATAAACTGCACTGCTATAAACTGGCCAATCGGGCCATGTAACGTTACAGTATCTCGAAACGTAAAATACGTAAAAGTAAAATACAGAGGAACCTCTACATAACGAAGTCCTCGGTGTAATGAACAATATCCCTGTGGCCAATGGTAAAATAAATGGAAAAGAACCTCGATACAACGAAACTTCACTATAGTGAACATGTTTTGCCAGTCCCTTGGCCTTGTTTTATATCGAGGTTCCACTGCATGTGGGAAAGAACCTTGATACAGCAAAACCTTGGCCTTTTGTCATATCATCATTGCACTGTACTTGATTTGATGAAACATTCTCTGGTTGAATGTGCTTAGCAACATACCAAGTCTGTTCATCAGCTGATGAAATGATTTCAGAATTCTCTGGAAACAAATGACTCTTCAAAACCAACCTAGATTTGAAAAATTTTTTAAGCAAATGTTTAGCCTGTTAGAAAACCACATTTACTTGTGTTAAATACAGAACATGCTTAGCGGCAAAGTTAACAATGTGCCTAGATCATCAAAATGAACAATTTGGGTCACTGAAAACTGTGAACAACTTGAAAGCCAAAAACGTCCTGTGTTCAGATTTAAAGGCTAGATTGTAGAAATACTGGGCCACTCATTTACATCTCATTGAATTTGAATGGTTCCTTTTGTTTCTTTGTGCTTCATTCTTAGAAGCTTTGAAAGATATGTCAATAAGTGGCCTGGTATTGTAAAATAGCTCCAATTTAAACATGAAATTGTGAACTCTTCTCCTCAATACATTTTTGTTTTTTTTGGTACAATAACATGGTTTGTATTAACCTATATTAAGGGCTGGGCATCGGTCAAATCGACGAGGATGATTTTGCAAGGATGATTTTGCCTGGCCTGGTTTGACCACCTACAGTACCGCTTGGAACTAAGCAAACATCGAACGCACATTCTAAACAAACCCCTAACACGAAAAAATGTCCCACTCGTTTTTGCCAACACGTTAGGGCCATGCGTTTTTGACAACGTGTTAGCCTTTGTTATTCATAACCACTATTCCTTTTGTGACACATTGTTATGGTGAACAAAGCACAAATTCAGTTCAAAACAAATGCGTGATATGTAAATCCGTGCAAAGTGAAATTCAAATCAAAACACAGCAAATTAACAAGTGCAGTTGAAAATTTGACCGTTGGCAATACAGCTTTGTACTGCTACCACTGAAATAAGGCGCCTTGATGTTGACAAGATGATAAACAAATTTGAGCACTTTCATGGCAAACCATCGCAAGTAGACTGAAACTTTGAACTCGCTCAGCAGAATGTGACAGCGAGGGTCATGACATGTTTATTATTTCAAGGTGTACGCTTTCATGCCTTCTGTTGAGTGGCTTGAGTATAACTGTAACTTGCTTTGATACTAAATATGTGGCACCAGTTTTAATTATCGATTGTTGGTTCACCTTCTTGATTATTCCGCATACCACAGAATGACAAAACCATCTTACAGCTTGTCTGAAACTCGGAGACGTGTGTCTCTGGCATTAAAAACTCGGTTGCGGCCTCGCGCACGATGTTGGTGTACAAATCAAAATTAGCAAAAATTGGACGAAAATTTGTTTTAGAAATGCTGTAATTCGCAGGTTATTAATTTTTTTCTCTTCAAATGAGCACCACCTTGTAGCGATTTTCATGTAGTTTCCTTTCATCTTAGCTACATCTCAAATGCACTTGTGCCTTTCTTGTAAGGAGTCAAAATCACACATACTCTCCATTCTAATCTTCGCAAGTAGTGTAACACATCAGGCCGTATTTTACGCTATTCTTAT